CCTCCTCCCCGGTCCTGCCTGGGAACAGCCAGCTACCCAGGAAATACCAGATATGCTGACGCTGATGTGTGGGCCTGAGCTGGCCTTCATTAGAAACGAGGGTGCCCCCTGACCCTGGCTGGTTCAGAAGGCGGAGCCCCAGCCTGACAGGCCGCAAAATAGCTGTCGGGCCAGGAGGCCGGGTTCTGGCCAGACCTCCAGAAACATGCCAGGCCCCAGACGCTCTGCAGGTATTGTTCCGTGAGCGGGAGTTTGCCGTCTTCCTCCGCAGGCTGCGTGGTCAACATCAGCGGCATGCTGCGCCGCATGGCCCACGCGGCCGGCCCCACGTACTGCATCACCAGGCTTGGGGTGGAGGCTTTCTCCGACTGCCTGCGCTACGAGGTGCACCCACTGGGAGTGAAGGTCGGCGTGGTGGAACCCGGCAACTTCATCGCCACCACCAGCCTCCACGGCGCTGAGCGCATCCATGCCATCGCCAGTAAGATGTGGGACGAGCTGCCTGAGGAGGTGCGCAAGGACTACGGCTGGAAGTACTTTGACGAGAGGGTCGCGAAGATGGAAACCTACTGCAACAGCAGCTCCACGGACACGTCCCTCGTCATCAGCGCTGTCACCCACACCCTGACCTCCGGCTAACCCCTACACTCGCTACCACCCCATGGACTACTACAGTTGGGTGCAAATGCGCATCACGACCCACTTGCCCGGAGCGATCTCCGACAGGATCTACATACACCGAGGAGTTTCTCACTGGCCTCTGTTGGGGAGCCCTGGGGGGAGGGAAGAGGAAGGGAGGGGGAGGGGCTTGTGTCATTACCTCTTGATTACCCACTTGTGGATTATCCCAGTCCCAGGAGGACCCACTACCAGTCTGAGCGTCAACCAGAGCAGGCAGCCCAGCTCAACTCGTGTGCCCAGTGAATGGCTCGGGCCTTCTCAACTGGGGTGCAGAGTGGTGGGCAGGGCCCACAAACCTCAGGGCAAACATGGTGAATCTGTCTTTCTGGAATTGATTTTATACAACGATTTTAGGTAGACATCTTTATATTAAAAACAGATTTATTATAAAATAGAATCCAAATCCTTTATATTTTAAAGCCAAAGCATCAGTTCAAAAAATTTATCTCAGGACTCCCCTGGCGGTCCAGTGGTTAAGACTTCGCCTTCCAATTCAGGGGGTGCAGGTTCAATCCCTGGTCAGCTAAGATCCCACATGCATCGGGGCCAAAAATCCAAAACATAAAGCAGAAGCAATGTTGTAATAAATTTAGTAAAGACTTTAAAGAAATGGTCCACATCAAGAAAATTTATCTCATTTGATCTTTAAACCAGCCTCATGAGTAAAAGGAAGTTTTTTTTTTCTTTTGTACATGAAGAATTTTTGGCTCAAAGAGGACACATGAATTACCCTTTTATTGCTTATAAATCAATTTTGCTTATATTGCTTTATATAAAATATAAAGGTCCAAGTCGTGTGTTCCTGCCACTGCTGTAGAAACATTTCACATTTTATGTTCCAGGGCTGCTCTGGATCCAGTTATCTGAGGATCCTGTGATGAGCTCTGTACCCTCACCTGGGCCATGTATACCGTGTGCCCACCATGTACCTCTTTGCATGTCCTTGGTGCTGCTGTGTGCAGCCTGCAGCCAGTGATTCAGAGCTGAGTGGAGGGGGTGGCAACATTCTGGAGATTTCCATTTGAGGTTTCTCCAGCTTAGGACAAACTTGTGTGGAGGTGCTCATTGGCTAAGAGGTAATTCGTTTCTGGTTTGGGTCCGCTTGGTCTTGCCTGGGGTGGGACCCCTGTTGATGGGACATTCTTGGCAGGAGCCGTGATACATAGGACGGGCACTGTGGCCTCTCCTCCCCCAGGGGTGGGTCCAGGTTCCCTGTCTGTCTCACCTGGTGCTTATACACACACACACACCTGTTCTATGGTGCTCAGGGTGGCCTTCACTGATGGCTCACCTTCCTTCTATGGACTTATTTTTAATTAAACCAGGTCACTGATCAGCAGAGTCTGTGTTATCACTTCTTGGCTTTGGGTTTTTGTTTTTTTTAAATAAATTTATTTATTTTACTTGTTTTAATTTTTGGCTGCGTTGGGTCTTCGTTGCTGGTCGCAGGCTTTCTCTAGTTGTGGCGAGCGGGGGCTACTGTTCATTGCCGTGCACGGGCTTCTCATTGTGGTGGCTTCTCTTGTTGTGGAGCACGGGCTTTAGGCGTGCAGGCTTCAGTAGTTGTGGGTCGCGGGCTCTAGAGCACAGGCCCAGTAGTTGTGGTGCACGGGCTTAGTTGCTCTGTGCCATGTGGGATCTTCCTGGACCAGGGCTTGAACCTGTGTCCCCTGCATTGGCAGGCAGATTCTTAACCACTGCGCCACCAGGGAAGCCCTTGGGTTTGGGTTTGAAAGCTAGTATCCCTGCAATTGCCCAGAGCCTGCATGTTTGGACCAAAACCAGGCAACACCCTCCTCCAGGTATCTGCAGACCCTGGGACAGGTTCCTGAGTACCAGCCCTTCTGCCTCGCCCTGGAAGGGACAGGCCTGCCGCTAGAGGGTGCCCTATCTCCTTTGCAGCCGGAGTGGCCTCAGCTCCTGATTTGGGAGCTCCCACCCAAGCCTGAGGTCTCAAAGGGTTGGTGATTCCCCACCTTGGAAGTGGTCCAGGCACAAAGATACAAGGCCCCTTTAGAAACAACTCTTCCTTCTCTTCTAGTAGCTGCCTGGCTTAATCGTGGAGGCTGGTGCCAGGAGAAAGCAGAACCTGGAGAGCTGGAACCAGCCACGGGGCTCAGGCAGTGCCAAAGAAGAGGGGGTCTCACAACGAGAAAATTCAGCCTGCCTTTTGGGCCTTGATCCCCTCTGTCATCAAGCAGGGATGCCCTGCCCAGCTCCCTATCTGCACGGTGAGGCCCAGAGGGCCTGTGTGGATGACAGGGTGGGCAGGGGGACTGAAACCCTCCAGAGCCCAGGGAGGGATACTTGATGGTCATTGTCTTTACATAACAAGAAGAGATTTTTGAATCACAAGTCTTGCCTTTCAGAATCTCACTTTTATATCTTGGGAGATTTAGTTTCCATGCTTAATTTTACTAAAGGAAAATGTATGCAGAACTTGAAGATACTCGTGTGCATGGATGCCTGGGAACTGGCAGGAAAGGGAGATGGTCATACGCTCTGGGTCAGGACCAGCAGTAAACCAAACACTGGAGAAGACGCATCTGCGTCTGCTGGGACCATCAGGCGTTAAGTCAGGACTGCTAGGCTGGCCTGCAGGCTGCCCTGATTTTTAATTTTTATCCCAGTGATTGGAAAGCCCAGAGCAACTTCCCTCCAGATCATCTCAATGCTAATGAAAACCTCACAATTACTATTCACCTTTTGGCAGCTGAGAGCCTCCTTGGGGGCAGGTCTCGTTTTGATCCTTACGAGAGACAGCTGAGGTGGGCAGAATAGAGGTGGTTGTTCCCATTTTATAAATGACATAACTGAGACCCAGAGAGGGGAAGTGACTCACCCAGCATCACAGTGGGTCTGAGCAGATCCAGGGCCAGCACGAAAGTCTCCTGAGTCATGCTGTTCACCATCACCTCACTCTGTGGCCCCAGGAGCCCTGGGAACCAGGTGGATGGGTCAGGGTCGCCTGGTACCTAGACCCTCACTGACTGTCAGCAGAGCTGCCCCTGCCTGTGGGGGGGAGGGGAGGCTGCCACCTGCGCCCACTGTCTGGGGCTGCTGGGGACTAATGGTGTCCACCACCACCGCCTTGGGTGGCAGCATTGTCTCCAGCACCCTCCCCTTGGAAGGATTCGTTCAGTCGGTGAGGCCTGAGGACCCATCTCCTGTTATCTATTCAGGCCTGCAGCACTGGGCCTGGGCCCCTTGGAGTATAACCCCATCTCCCAAGCAGCAGGTATCGGTCAGCTATGCAGGGCAGGGCACTAGTGAGCAGGCACCTGCACAGGGCCCTGGGCCAGGGACCAGGCATTCACTGTACCATTGGATCCTCCTCAAGGCCTCTGAGATGGGGGGGAGAGTCCTACACCCCAATCCCACTCTGTCACCCCATGGAGTAATCTTGAGTAAGTGGCTCTGGTTCCAAGGCCTCCATCGAGGCCTCAGGCAAGAGGAGGGGAAGCGTGCAGACAAAGCCTGGCACTGAGGGCAGGGGGTGTGGGCTGGACTCGGCTTGCACCTGGGACTTTGCCCAGTGGTACCTCTGTCTGTGGGGACCCACGGACGGGTGCCTTCAGCCCGCACTGCCCCTCCCTTGATGGCTGGAGGCTGGGTAGGGGCTTTTTGCAAGATGCTCCTGACGGCGCCTTTTTACAGAACACGTGCTGTGCTTTACATTCCACCCGGGGCCAAGGGCTGTGCAAGCAGGTGACAAGCCGGCCTGGCCCTCCCTGCCATGAGCTGCTCTGAGTGCCTCCGCTGCCCGGGGCGGTGGGCTCTGCCAGACTCCCCACTCGTGGGGCCAGCTCATTTCCTGTATTTCAAGCGGGAACTGGCTCTGCCAAGCTGCACCAAGTCTTTCTGGTGCAGGTGCATACATGAGCAAGCAGAGGCTCTCTTGGCTTAGGTAGCACCAGGTCCGGGCTGCCAGGGAGCAACCAGGCACACCTGTGCAGTGCTGGGCCCAGTCTGCAGCCAGCTCTGCCCCTCCTCTCTTCTGATCCTCACAGCAGCCTTGGGAGCTAGGCAGGGTGGGGTCATTTTCTCATTTTACACAACAGGAAGCAAACTACCCCAAGTCTCTCACCAAGAGAGGGATAGAACCGGGTGGCCATGTCAGATCTAACCTCCAGCCCGGAGCTAGTGATGCATGCAAAGCAGGGCAGATGGCACCCGGATCTAAAATAAGGAGGGGAAAAAATACCTCAATTATGTAACAGTGAGAAAGATCCGTAGGCATACGCATAGTACAACCACGGAGCGCTGCCCCATAAGCCATCTCCTTCTTCCCTCCCCCAGGCTCTGGGCCCTGCTCCCTGGGAGGAGATGTGCTGGAGGAGCCCATCAGCGACCCTCCAGGAGGAAATCTGCCTGGCCTGGGCTCACACCGCCCCATCCTGGGCGTTTCTGAGGGCATGCTCTAAGAACACCAACACCTAAACCTTGGACAGAAACAGATTCTGGAGCTGTCCTCAGAGAGCTCGAGGGTCATCTGAGCACAAGACTTGAGAATCCTCAGATACGGAGGTGGAACAAGGAGGGCTCTGGGGACCCAGTGCTCCGATATAGAACAAACAAGAAAACAAGCAAACCCAGAACATCTAAGGCCGTCCTGGTGTGTGTAGGCACCAGGGAAGGTGGTTTGTGAGGTTTGTGGCTTCAGAGGTATAGGGTGAGCACATACTGGTCAGGGCCCAGGGCCCAGGGCCTGGGATTAGGGCTGGGAGGGCTGCCAGGACTCCTGGAACCTCAGAGAAGGAAAAGGGACTCAGCCATCATCAAGCATGACTCCCAACCTCCAGGCAGCTGGCCAGGCTTTGAAGCCCTCCAGTGACAAGGATCTCCTTACTTCCTAAGATGGCATTTCCTTGGTTAGGGAAAATTTACCCAAAGACTGAGCTGAAATCTATCATCTCTGACTTAAGTCCTTTGACACTTGGCTATGACCCAGAACTGCACAGAACACTAGGTTGGAAATGGCCAAGTCAGGTTCAGGAGCCAAGGTCCCTCATTTGACAAGGTTTCCATACTCCTCCCTGTCTGAACAGAAGGTTTCAGCTGTGATTATCCCATCTCTCATTCTTGATGACACACATCAGGCTGAATGGTCACCTAAGTCCCCTCAAGCAACAAGAACTTTGAGATAGGGTATAATACAATTGTAGAGATGCTGACAATTTCTTACACACACGTGCCCCCTCACAAGTAAGTGTGCTCCAAAATCATCTCCCATCTGATCCTCATAAATGGCTTATGAGTTAGGCAGGGCTACTGTTCCCACTTGACAGATAAGGAAACTGAGCCTCAGGGAAGTGGAGTCATTTGCCCAAGATCACAGAGCCAGAAAGTGGGAGAGCCAAGACAGAAATCCAGGCCTGGCCTCCATCCCTAGGGCCCCTTCCTTTACCCCAAGTCTGCCTCAGTCTCTCCATCAGGGCCCTGGAGCTGGGCTGGACCAGTCAGTCAGAGGCTGACCATGTAGCCTGTGAAGGAGTGATGGGTGGGAAGCATTAAACTCAAATTTCTTCCAGCCCACAGTTTTGCAGAGAATAACGGGGAAAGGGAGGCTGAGCCTTTCCTGCATCTCACTGCAGGTGTGTCCATTGTGTTTGGATCTGCAGTGGCCTGGGCTCTGTTGGAGGGCCTGAGGTGGAGAGAGCAGGGCCAGTAGGTATTTCCAGGGCTGTGGCTGAGGACGATCCTGGCCTCAGCATCCATGGGCACGCGTTAGAGGGGAGAGAGTGTGAATAGGGACCAACCTCCAGGGATGCTGGGGCCCAGAAACTCCTGCGCTGCTCTCTCAGTGAGACTTAATTACTCTATAAAATGTGAGGCTGCTCCCACTTATCAAATTATAGATAAGCTTAATTACAGCTCGCTGAGTAACCACACTGAGCGCCTTCAGAAATAGCAGTGGGCTGATTGCTCTTCTCAGCTTCAGCTGTAGCCACCTGGGTTTCAGGAGGAAGTTCTGCTGCTAAACTCCGCTCTCAGGCTGCAGGAGGGACTGCACCGAGCATGCTTCTGTCCTGGTCACTTCCTGGCTGGGCCTGTTCTCAGCCAGCAAGTGCTCTGCTGAGCCACCTCTGTTCCATTACTGGGGTATTTACTCTGCTGGGGCCTCTCTCTCTCTCCTACTCATGCTGTGTTCTAGACAAAGGTTTTGGCTCATAATGTCTGACTGAAGGTGTGCAAAGTAGTGCAGGACATGCCTTAAGAGACAAGGAAAGGGGGCTTCCCTGGTGGCCCAGTGGTTGAGAATCCACCTGCCAATGCAGGGGACACGGGTTTGATCCCTGGTCCGGGAAGATCCCACATGCCGCGGAGCAACTAAGCCTGTGCGCCACAACTACTGAGCCTGCGCTCTAGAGCCCGTGAGCCACAACTACTGAGCCTGTGTGCCACAACTACTGAAGCCCGTGCGCCTAGATCCTGTGCTCCGCAACAAGAGAAGCCACCGCGATGAGAAGCCCGTGCACCACAACGCAGAGTAGCCCCCGTTCACCACAACTAGAGAAAGCCCGTGCACAGCAACTAAGACCCAACGCAGCCAAAAATAAATAAATAAAATAAATAAAGAGACAAGGAAAGAATATGGTGCTGGATGGGAAAACACACAATTTGTGGATTCTCAAGAGCACCTTCAAGGAAACAAGTAAAGAACAGCAGGCCACTAGGGATTGGTGAGAGGTCTGTGACATTGTGAAGGGCACCACAGGCCTTCCCTGGTGGTCCAGTGGTTAAGACTCCATGCTTCCACTGCAGGGGGTGCAAGTTCGATCCCTGGTCGGGGAACTAAGATCCCACATGCTGCAAGGTGCGGCCAAAAAATAAAAAAATAAATGAAGGGCACCATAAACATCCCTGCATACTGGCAGGATTGATGGACTTGCTCCAGTGGAAGAAACTGGCAGAAGGCACAGTGTGATTTCAGGGCATTTGATGGGAATGGAGGAGCAATACTGAGGATAATTACAAGTGCCCTAGGTGTTCCCACATTCGGAGGTGCACCTGGGAGCTCTGTGCTTAATAGCATCTGCTCCCTCTCCCTCTGCCCCCTTTATTATTTGAGTCTCTGCTTTGTGCCAGGTGCTGTACTGGGCACAGGGCATCCAGTGGCAGGCAGCTCACTGCTCTCCTAGGAAACTTTAACCCAGGGTGACAGATTCCACGGTTTGGGGGAGGAAGTGAAATGCTTTATTGTACCAGCAATGAATAACAATAGTCATTTTCAATCTACACACAACCTAAATTGTCTTTTTCCCTTTATAGCCTCAGCGCCCCAGGTCGACCGCAGATGTGAGGGGACAGGAATGGGCAGGGGTCTTTTCCTACTTATGGAGTCACCCGACCTTCTCAAAGGAAAAATAAAAAAGTGAATGTCCCTGGAAAAACACTGCTGCGTCTTGCCCAGATGCCAACAACGTGAAGTGGCCAAGCAAACAGTGCTGTGACCACTTGCAGAATGATCAGGCAGGAGCTCTGTGACACCAGGGGTTGGGCACGTGGTCTACAGGCTGAAGGTAGAAGGAGACCATATGCTCAAGCTGAGCACAGACATGAAGGGGTAGACGCCGACTCAAGGAATGCGACAAATTGGAATTTTCGGCATTGGGGGTTGACTTTCTATGAGGTTAAGTGTACAACAAAAGAATGCAACAGAACACTAAAAAGAGACTCTTGGGGAAGCTCTTGTTTTCTCTCAGCAGAGAAAGAAGGGGCAAATCAGGGGGTCCCTGAGCAGGCAGCTCCTGGGGAATGGAGCCCACTGGTGATGCCCTGTTAGAGATGGAAGGAGTTCAGAGAGCCTGCAGCCGGAAGGATGGGAAAGAAACAAGACTTGCTGGAAGTTTCATTCTGGGAAAGGTTGGGTAGAAAGAACACAAGTTCTGGAGCTGGACAGACCTGACTTTGAATCCTGTTCTGCAACCTTCCGATTGCATAATGCTGTCAAATAATCTAGTCTCTCCTAGCCTCAGTTTCTGTATGTCTGAAATGGGGGTAACGATGGGTACCTTGCAGGGTTGTTAGGTGAGTGTTTAAGGTCCCTAGCATATCACCTGGCATGGGGGAGGGACTCAGAAGGCATCCTGGCCAGTGTAGCCAGGGCCTAAATAACCCTCTCCCATCCCTACCCGACCCCATCCCAACCTTTCTGAGACATGCCTAGGCCTTACTCCAAGGGTGTTCCAGATGCAGAGACAGAAATCGGGAAACACTCAAAGTTGAACCCTAGCAGCCAGAGCCCACCTTCCTGTTCACCTTGCTCCTTCCAGGGGCCTGGGGCAGAGGAGGTAATTTCTTCCTTCAGGTGCCCCTTTCTGACTGTTAAACGCAGAACAAACTCTACAGCCCTACATCACCTCCTTTCTGGAAATCCCTGGAGAGGATGACAGGTGGATTAAGGAATTATCGGCCAGAAGGGCTTCAGCCTCAGAGCCTGGAAAACAAGTGCATCCCAGGCAAAGGAGGTATTTTCTGTAGCCCAAATCCTTGAAACTGTCCAGGGGGATCAGCCTGGACAGTTGTGGCTTTGGGGAGGATGGGAAGATGGGCCTGTTCCTCCTGCCTCCAGCTCTCTGTGTTTGGGTTCTTCCTGTTAACCTCTCAGTTATGTCTTAGCTAGGCCTGGCTTCCTCTCTGTCTCTTTTCCTTTGGCATCCAAGTTCTGAGGGTGAAGTGCTGTCTATAATCAGGCTTCAGGGGATCTGCACTAAGATTTTATTCCCAGCCTCTAGGGGTTCCCAGTCCTGTGGGGCAGGTGGGCTGTGTTCCGACCCAGGGGAGCTGGCCATCACTTGGGACGTCCTATATACGGTCGATGTACACTGTTTGTGGGAGCCCAGGGGAGGTAGAAGAGAATTCAGACTGGGCAGATTACAGGTGCTCCCTACAAGGAGACCGTGTTTCAGTGGAGCCTTGAAGAGGATTTTGATAGGTAGTAACAGGATATGGGGTACTTGGCAGGGTGTTCACACTGAAGGGAACAGTGTGGGACTGGCCCAGCATCTGGGAAGGACAGAATTCTTGAAGGGAAAGTGCAATAATTTGGCAGACCTTGAAGACTTCTGGCCCCTGGGAATAAAAGCATGCTGGAAGGAAGGGGTGTGAGATCTTAGAGGGCAGTGTTCAGACAGACCTGACCTTCAGCACCATATCACTACAAGCTGAACCTCAAAGTCATCCAGCCTCTTGGTTCCCAAACTAACTGCATGTGAATCTCTTGGGGATCTGATTAAAAAACAGAACCGGTGCATCTGGGGCAGAGCCTAGGAACCTTATTTCTAAGAGGTGACTCCAAGGTACAGCGAGGAAAGGGACGGCGAAAGAAGGGTGGAAGGCCCCAGTGCAGATGTCTGTCCAGTTTGGCATTTGGATTGTGGCACTAGTTGGGGGCCCAGCCTCGCCACAATTTTCAGGTGTG